ACTCCACTGCGACACCAACGCCTTCAAACCTGACGAAGCTTACACGGACGACAGCGACGCTGACACCGAAGCTGGCGGCTTCAGCCCCGGCGACGGTAGTTCGCCCGACACGGACAGCGACGAAGACCACACCCGTGAACCTCCACCTGCGCAAGTCCCCGACATCCTCCCTGCCAACGCCATTGTTGCCAACACCAAGGACATGCTGAAGCTCATGGTCGACACCTGGGAACCCATCTTGGGCAGGTACCGCGCACGTGCGGGACATGATGCCGAAGCCATGCCGACGTGGGCCGACTTCTACGACGAGTACCGACAGGAGCTGCCTACGCCATCACCAGCTACCCCTTTCCACCTCACCGACGACCAACTCATCCACTTCATTCGCACCCGTTCACCGAGACGCGCGGGGGGTCTGGACGGTTGGACTACTATGGAGGCAAAGGAGCTTCCCGACGACATTCTTCGCCTCTTCGCCAGCGTTCTACGAGCTATGCAACGCACTGGCACCATCCCAGAACCCCTCCTCCACGTCCCAAACCCGTGTCTCCGAAAAGGCCGAGGCGAACTCCCAACGGACCAACGACTTCTCTCGGTGCTTTCCGTTTGGATGTACGCGTGGGAAGCACCAGCTTACCGCAGCCTCACGGACTGGCGGAAAGGATGGACCCACGCCACGAGTTTTGGCGCTGTTCCCAAAGCTTCCATTGGGGACGTCAGCACTTCTCTCGCCCTTCGCATCGAACACGCCAGAGCCCTTCTCCTTCCCTTGGCTGGAGCTGCCCTGGACCGTCAGAAGTGTTTCGACTATCTCATCACGGACATATGCCTAAACCTCGCGCTTCACGCGGGGTGTCCCCAAGACATCGTTACTGTCCGCAGAAACTTCTACAGGCGCCACAAACGTTACATCCGCATGAACGGTGCGAACTCTAAGGAACTGGCCAGGACAAACGGTCACCTCCAGGGAAGCTCTTGGTCCCTGGACGACATTAAGCTGCTCATGTGCGTCTGGACCAAGAGACAGCATCGCTACGTGCCGCGGTCACTCAGCACTACTTTTGTTGACGACAGTAACTCCACTACCCACACCGCGCCCGAGTTGCAGAAATCTCTTGATGAAACCGCCAAGTTTGATCGATTTTCTGGTCAACGCATTCATCCTGGAAAAGTGGCGGGGTGGGCGCTTACTGACGAGCTTCACACCGCCGTTACCCAGCTCACCTTGGCGGAACGGCCCTTACGCGTGGGCGACTCCTTCAAGCTCGTCGGAAGTTACATCAACGCCGAGGCAGCGCCGGCTCCAGCCGCGCTCAACCTCACGGCCACCGCTGACGCCCGTGTTCGCAGGGCGACTAGTCGCCTGCCGCGTATTGGCAAGCTCCCATCCCCGATGCGTATTAAGGCGCGGCACGCCCGCTCCCTTGCTGCCAGCGTCTGTACCACGGGCACTGACATCCAAGCCCCATAAGGCCCCGTCAAAACTGCCTACAACCATGCCCTTAAGGCGGCCATCCGCCCCAAGGGAAACAGGTGGGTCGAGTTTTGGACTCTCATGGCCGTGTGCGTCCCAGGGCACGCCCTGGAGATTGACGCCATTATGCAGCGTGAAGTCTTCCTGTGCCTGCGGCGACAGGTCAACCGCGACGCCACTCTCGGCGGCCTCGTCAGGGATCTCCAACACCATGTCCAGACCCTTTTTGGCGGAGGACCTGTTGGACGACTTGTTCAGACGCTTCAGCAGCTCCGTTGGACTTGGCCCACATTTGGCACCATGTACGACGACTGGGGCTGCCAGATCAGTTGGCTGAACCTTCCCCAAAACGCCTTCCTTCACATGCTGCGCGCCTCGCAACGCAGGAGACTTTTTTTTTATGTTTTTTTTTTTTTTTTTTTTTTTTTTTTTTTTTTTTTTTTTTTTTTTTTTTTTGTTTTTTTTTTTTTTTTTTTTTTTCTTTTTTTTTTTTTTTTTTTCTTTTTTTTTTTTTTTGTTTTTTTTTTTTTTTTTATTTTTTTGTTTTTTTTTTTTTTTTTTTTTTTTTTTTTTTTTTTTTTTCTTTTGGTTCTTTTTTTTTTTTTTTTTTTTTTTTTTTTTTTTTTTTTTTTTTTTGAGAAAAATCAAGCCACGGCGGCATGACCTTGGACACCTGGCTTCGGTCAGACAGGGCCTCGACCTTTTCGCCAGCACGTGGCTCGCCCGCACCAAAGTAGCTGCCAAATGCAACGCATGGCAGCTGGCGCTCCTCTTAAACTACCTGTCGGGCGGGGACCACACCCAACAGCGACGTTCTCGATCAAATACGTCCGCTGATCCCAGCCCTATTTGCCGTTACTGTGATGAGGAAGAGGAAACTCAGGACCACACTGTGCGTGACTGCAAGTGCTGGGCCCGTGAAAGAGTCCCTCTCACCACCCTCATCAGTGACGAGCAGTGGGCCCGTCTTCCTCCGCACACAAGACATTGCGGGCTCTTCGATGAGGACCCAGCCCTCCTCGATCTGCAAGCCGACCTCGCGAGGGACCCGCTCCCTCAACCCATACCGCGGCCCCCGCCTGAGGGAGATCCTGCGGCTTCAGCCCAGGACTCCTACACCACTTACCTTGACCACGACACTGGTTGGACATGGGTCTACGCTGCCACGGACGGTGCATGCACCAACCAAGCCATCCCTTTGCTTGCAAGAGCGGGCTACGGCGTCTATTACGGCATCGACCACCGCATGAACTACAGTGCGCGCGTTCACGGCATCACGCAGAACGCACAGCTTGCGGAGACCCTCGCCATTGTACACCTCACGACATGTGCTGAACGGCCCGTACACGTCTTCGTGGACAACCAGGCGGTGGTCGACGGCTTCCAAAGGATCATCGACGGACACTCACCTCCGCAGGGCACGCACGTGGAGTTCTGGGAAAAGGTCCACCGATGTGTCATGGCCAAGCCAAACATGTTCCGCGTATAGAAAGTCGCTAGCCACCAGGGCGACACGGGCATCGACCTCGGGCTCATCGGGCCCATCGCGGAGGAGTTCAATCGTCAGGCTGACGCCCTCGCCACAGCGGCGGCACGTACTCATAACCTTCCAGACGACATCGTTGAAGCTGCCAAAACACGACACCGCCAAGCGACCGTGCTCCATGGAGTCGCCGTTGCCATCTACGAGCGGAGACATCGTACACTTCCTCTCCCACACCGCAGGGCTGGGTTCACTGCTGCAGAACTAAACAAAATGGAACCAAATCCCCTGCTGTCTGACCAGGCTCCACCCGCGGCTGGACCAGACATCCCACAAAACCCCGACGAGCTCTGGGCCGAGGCCCAACGGGTGTTATTCGACGAACAGGAGGACGACCCGTTCGGCTTTGGTGGAGGTTTGGACTTCCTGGGCGACGAGTCAGCCAGCGCCAACCCTGCCCCGGCGGGCACCCGCACGGCGCCCCCGACTCCGCCATTGAGTGCGTCAGCCCACCCACATGACAACGCCGTTCCTTTTCAAGACGCTGATGAGCAGGACGATGACCTTTTCAGCCTCGGTGGGGGATCGGACGCTTTGGACGACGGACCAGCCAACGAAAACCCCGCCCCGTCGGGAAACCTCGCAAACCCGACTGCGACGCCGTCCCCAAGAGCGTTAACGCCCACATACGACGATATCGGTCACCGCCAAGACGCCGACCACGACCCGAGTGGCCCCCGAGGATTGGGTGGCATTGAGGACGCACCGCCGACACCACACGCTGCCGACCATGCCGCCCCACCGAGTCACCAACCCTCTACGCGACCGACCTCAGCGGCCTTCCACGGCATCACGACTGGTCCCACCGCGCATACCACTCCGCCTCCCCATCGTCAGCGACCCGCGGGGGCGGCTTCAGCCCCCCCGCAGGGTACTAAACCAGACAGGCCCTCGTGCCCCACCCACGCTTCCTCCTTTGCTGAGCGAGAGGAAGCGGCTCCCCTGACCTCTCGGGGCGCGGCCCTAGCGGCTCCAGCCCTGGGGTCGCGCCGGCCCCTCCAGTCACCTTTTAACGGCGACGGACGTCAGCGTTCAGGGTCCCGCACGCCGCTAGCCCACCTGGACAGGCGTACCGAGGACCTCGCCTCTGTCACGAGATCCTCGGCGGATGTCACTGAGCAGCCACCTCTCACCGACCGTGAAACCGAGCTGTCACAGGCTATGGCTGCCCTTCAGCAGAGGTGCTTAGCTCTCGCCGCGGACCTCGCCGCTGCCCAAGTTCGTCAAGGTCCTCTACTCCAGCGCCTCCACAGCGCTGGGCGAGCCTTCGCCGAGCTGCTCACGACCTCGCCCGATGGTGTCGTGCCGTCACTCAACATCCAAGCTATGTTGTCATCGTTCCGCGGCGCTCCACCTGGTGCCCCGCGCTAATCTCCTCCTTTCTACCTGCCCGTGTGTACGTGTGGCTCCGCGTCCACGGTGTCAGGGCGTGGGGGCGGGGGGTGCCCCGTCACTGCGCGCCGCTTTGCGGCCAAGCGCCCAACTGGCGGTCCGCCAGGCCGCCTAGCCACGTGCCAGCACGTCGCCTTTCTTGTTGGGGCCTTTTACCTCACTGAACACGCGGTTCTGTCAGGTGAGATCTTCACCGTCTGTCCGCCGTCTGTAGCGTCTGTCGCATTGCGCCGGGGGAGGGGTTTTTGTTGCCCGCCCTCGTATCTAAGGCTGCACCGCCGCAAATAGTGTTTGGCGAGTTGTCGCACCGCAGTGCGCCTCGCGGACGGACCCTGGTCCGCCTACTTGTCCGATCTCTCTCTCTCTCTCTCTCTCTCGTCTCTCCCTCCCTCTCTCTCTCTCTCTCTCTCCCTCTCATCTCTCTCTCTCTCCCTCTCTCTCTCTCTCTCTCTCTCTCCTCTCTCTCTCCTTCTCTCATCTCTCTTCTCTCTGCTCTCTCTCTCGTCTCTCCTCTTCTCTTCTCTTCTCTCTCTCTCTCTCTCTCTTCCCCCCCCCCCCCTCGCTTCCGCGGGGGTGGATGGCGGAGGAGAGGGGGTCGGCGCCTTCCCCTGATGGCATCGAGCAGAAGTGGGATTTCGATTACGACCATGAGCTGAAGAAAGCCTTCCGCGTCGAGCGCATCCGGAACAATCAGTATAAGGATTGCTGCCAGATCATGTACCCGCCGAAGAACGCGCTCCCCACGGACGCGATGATTGCCAAGTGGTCCGACGGGCTCACGCGCAGTGTGCCGCAGGCGTCGGGGCATCTCTCCTCTCAGTTTGTCGTCATCGCCCTTCTCCTTTCAATCCTGCCAACCCCCATCCTCCATCCTCCGCCCGTTGAGGCCATCGTCATGCAGTTCCAGGGTGCGCCCATCGAGCAACGCGTCGACGCGGTCGGCAAGAAGACGAAAGGCAAGGGCAAGGGCAAGAAGAGTGCGCAGACAGAGGGGATCGAGCTGGTGAATATCAAGACCGAGGAGACGCACTTCTCCACGTCGTTCAAGACCGACTGGGGCAAAAGCAATTTGAAAAAAACACTGGGGAGAGGAGTTGAATGGGATGGAGTAGGAGGAGGAGAAGGGAGGGAGGAGGAGAAGGAGGATGAGGACGAGGAGCAGGAGGAGGAGGAGGAGGAGGACGAGGAGCAGGAGGAGGAGGAGGATGAGGAGGAGTAGGAGGACGAGGAGGAGAGGGGAAGAGGAGAGGAACAAAGAAGTGAAGAGGAGAACCTAGGAAGGGGGGCAGAGAACGAGAGAGAGAGAGAGAGAGAGAGAGAGAGAGAGAGAGAGAGAGAGAGAGAGAGAGAGAGAGAGAGAGAGAGAGAGAGAGAGAGAGAAAAAAAAAAATGCGGGGGACCAGCCAGGAACAACAACCGCAAGGGCTTTCCACCTCAACGGCTGGCCAGGATCATGCAGGACGGCTGGCAGGTCTTGCAGATGGACGCGGCGGACCCGAGGGCCCCTCAGCAACACGTGGAAGGAGGAGGAAGGGGAGGAGCTGGAGGAGTGGAGGGGGAAGGCGTGGTACAGGACAGCGTCGTGAACCTTAGGCGATGCTTAAGAAAACTTAAATTTTCGGCCAGAGTCTCGTTTATTCTTAATGTTTCAATGTAAATCCTAAGATTTGAATAGAATTTGGGTTTTTATGCAACTTCTGAGACTATGAATTTCTTAACCAATGATTTCTTAAGCATTTCGCAGGGTGTAGTCGCAATCGTCGTCGGCCAGCCGAATTTTCCAGCTAGGACTTCGCAGAGAACATCAACGATGGCGAGAAGTTGGCGATGGCCCGGCGCAACGACGCAGCGACGCGCCTAGCGAACAACACCATCACAAGAGAGGACGCGCTGCTGGAGAAGGCGCAGCAGACCATGCTCACGAAAGGGAAGCTGACGATGAAGAAGAGGCCAGCAGCGGCAAGGGCATCAGCAGAAGGAGCCAACCTACCTCCTACTTCCTTAACTCCTCCTCCTCCTCCCCCTCCTCTTCCTCCTCCTCCTTCGCTGCCTCTTCCGCCTCCTCCTCCTCCTCCTCGAGCCTCGCCCTGCTTCTCCTCGTCGTTCTCCTACTCATCCTTCGCCTCCTCCTGCTTCTCCTGCTTCTCCTCCTCCTCCTCCTCCTCCTCCTCGTCCTCCTCCTCACCTCCCTCGATCGTCACCCTCGTCCACGCACCATTCCTCAATGCCAACCGTCTTCCATGTGCTATGCCCTCTCCCCCCCCCCCTTGAAAATGATCCGGCTTCTCCTGAGGGCGGGGTCAGGCCGGCAAGCTTTTCAACTGTTCCAATGTTTGAACCTAGACGAAACGGTCCTGAGCTGATGCGGTAATCCGCGTCCCTTCGCATGGAGGGGCGGGCATGTTAGATGGTTGGGCCCCGCATCTTAAACGTTGGTTTTCCCTGGGAGGTGCGAAGCGTCCGCGGGGCTCCGAGGGCCAGGCCATCGGCGAGGACGCGATCGCGGACGAGGGCCAGGACATCGGCGAGGGCGAGGACGCGATCGTATACGAGGGCCAGAACATCGACGAGGGCGAGGGCGTGATCGCGGACGAGGGCCATCACATCAGCGAGGGCGAGGACGCGATCGTAGACGAGGGCCAGAACATCGGCGAGGACGAGGGCGTGATCATGGACGAGGGCCAGGACATCGGCGAGGGCGAGGACTCGATCGCGGACGAGGGCCAGAACATCGGCGAGGGCGACTCGGGGATCGTGGAGGGCAACTCCGAGGGCACGAACATCGGCGAGGTCGGGGGCAGGGGCAAGGGCGTCGCCATCGGCGCGGGCGGCACCGCGATGGCCAACGGCGCGACGATCGAGATCTCGGGCAAGGGCCAGGGGCAGAACACCAAGGGCCAGGGGAAGACGAACACGACGGCGCCCAAGACCCCCGACCCGAAGCAGGCCGCTGGGTCGCCCGTGCCTGAGAGGCACGCAGCGGCGCGCCCACCAGCGAGGCCGAGGCCCCCCTCGCCCGAGGGGCCATTCACGCTGGACATGTAGGGTTTGATTCGGGCAGCCCCGTCGGGCTGGTGATCTAGACAGTTGTCTAGAAGAACGTGGGAGTTGAAAAGAGGCCAGAGGAAAAAGCTTCGCAACGAAAGGATTAGATGCCCAATTAGATGCCCCATCGCGGAAGATAGCGAATGCGATACAGTCGGGGCCTTGACCTAAGGAACCCAAAATAAGGAACGAGGCTTTTTTTCTATACGTTAAGCTTCGACTTCCGATCGAAGACATAAGGAACACCTGAGGCGAGCTGCGAAACACTTAAGGAACGCGGAGCCCCTCCCCAACGAAAAGGGTTCCTTCTTCAAGGCCCCGACTGCAGCCACTCGGGGCGTTCGGTGCACGTTGGCAATCCAGCCGTGGCGAAGAGGAGGGCAACGTCCAGCCGTGGCGATTCGGCGCAGCTATTTCGGGAGTCGCCCAGCCGTGGCGACCAGGGGGGCAGTGGGTGCTAGCGGGCATCGGACCCCGATCATTGAAATAATTCATTCGATGCAAGTGCGAGTCGAACGAATACAGAACACCGTGCGATAACGACTCGAATGCGAACGCAGACAACACCGATCGAACCCCGATGCTGTCCTGAGCATTTTGGCCTCGAGTTTCTCCGCTGCCCCTCGGCAAGTTAGGGCTGACACTCGACAAGTGGGTTCAATGGCCGACGCCGAGGGCGCAGCTGCTCGGGTTGCGCGGGGATTCCTTGATAACAGACTTCGGGGGCAATCCGATGAACCAACTCCTCTCGCCCTCTCTTTCGCAGCCCTCCTCCTCGTGCTCGTCCTCGTCCTTCTCCTCCTCCTCCGCCTCCGCCTACTCCCCGACTATCCTCCTCCCCCTCTTCCTCCTTCTCCCCCTCCTCATCCTCCTTTCCATCCCCCTCCCTCCTCCTCCTCCTCCTCCTCATCCCTCACCTCCTCCTCTCTATAAGATTCAGCCTCCGTCCGCGTGCTGACCCATTGCGTCATTCTCCCACAGGTTGCGACGGTGCGCATCGTTTCGGCGGCGCCCAGGGCCCTGGCGGAGAATGACCAGCAGGACAGGCAGCATCAAATCCACGGGATAGCTTTTGGAGGATGAGGGGGGGGGGGGGGGGCTCGGTCATCTCGGATCCCGCGGGCAGCATTCTCGAGTAATGGGGTGACCAATCCCTTTAAGATGGTGACGTGGACAGCGCGCGGCCCCCGCGTGGAAGGGGGCAAGACGGAGGGTGGTGAGATAGCCGCACCACCAGTCGTTGCGATTGCCCCCCTCCCCCCACCACGCACACGCACGCACAGGCGCACCCACGCGCACGCGCACGCACGCGCGCGCACACGCACGCGCGCGCACGCGCACGCTCACGCACACACGCGCACACGCGCGCACGCGCACACGCGCACGCAAAAGCACACTCACGCACGCGCACGCACAGGGCACGCACAGGCACACGCGCACGCGCGCACGCACGCACGCACGCACGCACGCGCACACACACATACACACATACACACGCACACACACAAACACACACACACACACGCACACGCACAACGCGCGCACGCACGCACACACGCACGCACGCACGCGCGCGCACACACGTACACACACGCACACACACACAAACACACACGCACGCGCGCGCATACACACACACACGCACACACACGCACACACGCACACACACACACAAACACACATATACATATATAACTATATATATATATATATATATATGTGTATACAGCGTCGCCCATATGCTTGCCTCGAGGATCGCCAGAGCCACGGGTTCGGGCAGGCATCCCAGCGTGACGCAGCTGGGCCAGACCAACCCGTCTCATTGAGCGACAGCGACGTCGAGGAGACACAGACCGTCGTCGACAAGGGCCCGATCGCAGTTCAGCCAGCCAGCCGGACTCCGACTGTAGTTGCGACCAAGCCTTGGGCACGCCCGACCCCGACACTCGACGAATTTGTTCAGTATATTTTGGAGCGCGAGCCCGCGCAACATGATGAGCAGCCCATTCGGCCGCATCGGCGGTGGCAGCTCCGCGCTCGCGGCGACGACAACATCAGCCAGCCTGCCGACCTCGACAGCATGCCGATCTTCGCGATCGCCGCCCAGCAGGACACTCTGCCAGAGACGCAGCCACTAGGGGCCGCCGCGGAGCTTGCGACGCTGCAGCACGACGCCGTCGACCAGCCAGGCAGCGCGACCCCGCCAACCCCAGGCGCGCAGGCGAGCCTGGGTGTCCAGGCGACGCGCGCTGGAGCCTCGCCGCAGCCCGAGCCCAACATGGATGCTGGCGTGGCCCAGGGCAGCTCGGGCCGAGCTCAGCCAGCCGATGGTCGCTCCGAGCTCAGCCAGCCGATGGTCGACGGTGGCTCGGCTGCTGGCCAGGGCCAGCGGGCGCCGAGCGAGGCGCGCCCAGAGGTGCTCGACGGCGCAGCCGCGGACAGCCAGGGCGCCACAGTCGGCGAAGCTGGGGAGGAGGTGCCCACGGAGCAGGAGCTGCCATACCGCCAGCCAGATATGGTGGACACCAACTCTTGTGACCACGAGCCCGAGCTGGACCCGAGCCAGCCGACGCCGCCCTCCGCAGTCGACTGCGCGACGCGCATCGGCAGCTTCGAGCAGGGGCCCAGAGGTTACATTCGAAAGATATGCGCTCTCCGCACCTGCCCTGACTTCCTCATCTTCTGGTCACCTCAATCTCCCGCATCATCCCCTCATCGGGGGTGCCGGGGGGGAACACAGGAGGAGGAGGAGGAGGAAGAGGAGGAGGAGGAGGGGGAGGAGGAGGAGGAGGAGGAGGGAGGAGGGAGGAGGAGGAGGGGGAGGAGGAGGAGCTCTTCCATCGCCTCAGGAGATGGTGGCGCTCTTCAAGCAGAAGTTCAAGGGGCAGGAGCTGCCGACCACCGTGGGGGGTGCCCAGCAGGATGAGGAGGGCGTCGACGACGACGCGTTGGAGGCGCGTGCGAAGGCTGGGTTCGACTTCGCGGCTCGGGGC